TAAGACCGGGAGAGTGTAGCCCCTGCACCATTGTTGTTGGAAGTCAGGGACCTCACGATTCCCCTCTGGAGCTGAGAGGAGGGGGCCCTACAAACAAAGGCCAGCAGGAGAGCCTGCATGCCTAGCAAGGCTGCTGCAGGCCCCACACACCCTTTTGGACTTAGAAGAGACAGGGAGAGATCGCCATCAAGGTGAACTGTGGGCATTGGGAAGTGCAGCCCCTGCACCAGAGTTGGAAGTCAGGGACCCCCAGGATTCCCCTCTGAAACTGAGTAAATACAGGGGGAGGGGATCTTCCACAACATCACTACCCTTGTGGAGTCCTCTGTAGCAGAGCTGGACTCGGTCTGGCCACCCGTTCCCAAATCCCAAAAGGAGCACCCAAAAGCAAGGCCTACCAGAACCAGCGGCACAGTGTCCTCATGCATAGAACAAATTAGAAAACAAAACAACAGGGAGAAGGGAAAATACAAATAACCAAGAAGCCCTCGGGAGGAGGGCACACCACAAAAAGAAAATCAGCCACCAGAACTCAACAACAATGACATGGAAGAACCCCTCGGCCTGCCAGACAGACAATTTAAAATTGTCTTGATTAAAAAAAAAAAAAGAAGATGAAAAGGAAAAGAAAGATATGAGAAATGTAATGAATGAATTGAAGAATGAAATTGAGACCTGACAGAAGGAAATGAAGGAAGCGCAGGGAATGAAAAAAATGAGTGGAGGAGCTAAATTTAGAACTCTGAGAAAAGCAACAAAAACAGAAATGATGAAATAGAAGAACTAAATAAAAAGAACCAAAAAAGAAAAGAAAAGATATGTCCAAAGGAAAAAGAATGAGGAACTACTTCGAGAACTATCTGACACCATGAGGAAATGAAATATAAGAGTTATAGGTATCAGAGCCTCCTGGTGGCGCAAGAGTTTAAGCACCGTGCTATGAAGCAATCTGCAGTCTCTGCAGCACCAGTTCAATCCCCGGCCAGCCAGGGAGCTGCCCACATGGCTCAGCAGACCTCTCCTGTTTCCCCGCTGCTCCCCTCAGCAGTGTATTTCAGCGGATCTGCCTGTTCTGCTCCCCACTCTCTCTGGCGAATCTTCTCACCGCCCCCGTATCTCTGGCCTGTATGGAGCTCTTGTATGCATAAATAAATAAATATTTAAAAAAAAAAAGTTATAGGTATCAGATCTCCCTAGTGGTGCAAGGGGTTAAGACACAACCTATGAAACTATCAGCAGCCACTACAGCAGGAGTTCTATCCCCAGCCAGGGAGCTACCCACATGGCACAGCAGACCTCTCCTGACTCAGCGAAGAATTTCACTCAGTCTGCCTGTTCTGCTCCCCACTCTGTCTCTGGTGAATCCTCTCACCTCTGGCCTGTACCCCAGTTCTTGTATGCATAAATAAATAAATAAATCTTTAAAAAAAAAAGGAGTTATAGGTATCCCAGAAGGCAAGGAGAGAGCCCAAGGCACTGTGAAAATATTCAAGGAAATTAAGCATGGAGTTTGGTGATTGTGTCAACATTGCTTCATTAGCTGTAAAAAAAAAAATGACAACTTTAGTCACGTAAGATGTTGAAGTGGAAATGGTGTGGGATAAACAAGAACTGTATTACCTTTGCAACTTTTCTGTAAATTTAACAGTATTCTTTAAATGTTATTTTTTAAAACGTACTCAATACTAAATAGGCTGTAGAAGGAAAAATTGATCTACTTTCCGGTTTTCCCAGGTTTTGTTATCCAGGGACTGGAGAGAGGGGTTCTGGGAGAAAAGCTGGAAACCTCACACCCAGGGCAGGCTCCGGAGTCTCCTCTCCTCTGAGCCCTGCCTCTCTGACTCCTCACAGAGCATCTCACCCCAGGACGCAGCCCCTCAGGACCCCCAACTCTGCCCACCTCAGCCCCCGCCCCGTCCTGGCGGCTCCACCAAATCCGGAGCAGCGCGGCAGCGCCCCCGTGTGGCCACAGGGCTGAGCACAGGAGCCCAGAGCCGCCCTTTCTCCTGCTCAGCCAGGCCCTCCCCAGGCTCCCTGGGCCCCCAGCGGCAGGACAGGGATCTGCACACAAGGGGGCGCCCAAGTGCTGTGTCAGTTTAAGCATCCCCTTGTTTTGTCTCCGGTGGTCTCTGGGACATAACAACTGGCCCCTAGGTTCTGGGCAAATCCCTAAATATACAGGTCGCCTCAGTCTCTTGGGATGGAAACTTAGATCCCAGGGTCCCTGTAATTTGTTTCTGCTTCTGCTTCCAAGGATGAAAGCCCCTCCTGGGAATCGCCTGACATTCTCTATCCTTGGAGGAGGGGAGGGGCCTAGGAGAGCCCCCAGGGCGCTGGCTAGGAAGATGGGGAGGCTCCCGGAAAAGAGAGCAGAGGATGGAAATGGGGACTTTAGGGGACAGAGGTGGAAAGGGGTGCAGGGGGAGCCAGAGAGGACTGGGCAGGGAAGGGGCAGCACAGGGGACACTGTGAGGGGAAGGTCTGTGTGGGTGACATAGGCTCTCACTGGGGGCTGGAGCGTCTGTCTCCCCTGGGGGATGCAGCAGTGCTGGCCTGTGACTGCCCAGGGAACTGCGCACATCCGGGGCCTTGCCCGTCCTTGCAGGGCTGGTGTCACCCACACACATGCACATGCTGGTGACAGAGAGGACTGTAACAGGGGGGTCCCCAGGGGAGGGTCCGTGTTCCCTGCCCCACCCAAGAGGGGTGAAGCTGAGGAGGGAGAAGCAGCTGGAGAGGAGGCTGAGGAGGAAGGAAGCAGGATGGAGCCAGAAGGAGACCTGGGGGAGGCACATGGGACAGAGACACGTAAAGAAGCTGCACTTGCTTCTTGGCCTTGGACTGGGTGACACAGACGTGGGTGAGAAATCCATGGGGAGGTTGCAATGGCAGCTTCTACCTTGATTTTGCTTTTTTCCTTCCAGACTTGACAGCCCTGTCCCCCCTTTTCTATGGGTCCCGCCAGGAGGGGCTTTAGACTGTGACAGGCTTTCACCCCTGCTTGGGCCAACCCTGTTTGGCTGAACATTTACCCACAGGGGGATGGTGACTTTGGAGTAAAGATCCTTTCCATTAAAGTTCTTACATGTTTTGTCTTGATGCCACGGATGGCAGAGAGATGGGGGAAGACAGACAGTTAAAGGGAGGCCGCCCTCCTTATCCAGAACATCCCCACTCAGCTCTCCAATGCTGGGATGTCAGGGAGATTCAGGGATCCTAGAGGAGGGCAGAGCAAGGCCTGGGCCGCCCTGGAGGACCAGTGCTGGGGGCTGATTCTGGGGCTCCAGGGCCCCACTCCCTACAGGCAGGTCAGAATCAGCCCCATTCACAGCTCCAGGCTGCTGATCCCCTCTGTTCCATGACCCTGCAGACACCACTGGAGACGGTGTGAAAAATAAATGAACAGCAAAATTAAATGGAATCTAAAAACAGTAGAAACAATTTTTTAAAATTGCGTTTATTGTTTTTTTAAGGATTTATTTATTTATTTTATTTATTTATACAAGCACTGGGTACAGTTAGAAGCGTGGGAGGGTGAGAGAATTCACCAGAGCCAGAGCGGGGAGCTGAGCAGCCAGAAGGACCAAAGCACACTGCTGAGGGGAGCAGCGGGCAGCAGGAGAGGTCTGCGCGCCATGTGGGACTCTCCTTCAGTGAGCAGCCGGGATTGACCAGCGCTGCAGAAGCTACGGGCAGCTTTGCAACCCAGCGCTCAACTGCTGCGCCACCGGGGAGGCTCAAATCATGTTTATTTTGAAGGACTCTTTCAGGGGATGAGGAATCCTTGTCTGACAGCTCATTGCTATCCAGGACCTTGACTGTCAGGTGAGATACTCAGGCCTCCACTGTTTCTTGCAAGAAAACAGCCACTAATCACTTTATCGCCTTAATTTTTTACTGGTTTGTACCAAATCACTTCAAACTTAGCAGCTAAACCACAAATATCTGGCATCTGTTTGGGGGGGGAGGCAGCAGGAGGAGCCTCACTTAGAGGCTTCAATTTTGGATCTCACGAGGCTGCGATGGGGACGAGATGTTGGCGGATCTGAACGGCCGTGATCAGCGTGGAAGGACCTGCCTCAGAGCTCCTGCATGTGGCTCCTGGAGAAAACCCTCAGGTCCTTGTCCTGTGGGTGTCCCCTTAGCTGAGGGGAGCCCGGGTGGGAAGTCTCAGCCCCTGGGAGCCTGACTCTGTGACGTGGCATGTCCCTTCTGCTTTATTCTCCTCAGGAGGAAGAGCCAGCAAGTCAGACACACTGGGGGTTGAGGGGGGGAACTGTCTCCCCTCCTGTGTATCAGAAAATTTGTGGAAAATTGAAAAACAACACAATAGACTTTCTGAACACTATTTCCTTTCTTCCCACATGATAAATAAACTCCCTCCCACCCAAGGCCTATGTAAGTCTCTCCCATCACAGAAGCAGTGTGATGTCAGCATCTCATCACGTGACTCAGGACCACGCAGAGGAGGCTCCTTGAGAGCATCTGTGCTGTGAAGCCGTCTGAGCTCAGGCCCTCATGGGCTGAGGCAGTTTCCTGCACCACAAGCCCTGGATATGGATACAGTGGAGGACAGACACAGGGCAACTTGTAGAACCATTTTTTAATATGAATCTTGTTGGGAAAGACCCCGCGCAGTGAGCAGAAGGGCCTAAGTCCCTAAGTCATGTGAAAACACACGCGTCTCGGACGAAAACCTCTGAGTGACCGGAAATGGTGTGTGACCGGACTGGTGTTGAGTGCCTGGAAATTGACCTGTGGAGTCATGCCTCAGTATTCCACAGCCAAAAACCAATTAGGAGCAAAACTCTCTGCTCTAGCTAATGAGCAATCAGATGACGTATAGGAGTTGACTACCTGGCACTTAAAATTCGGGAGTAGGCAGATATCAGTAGCAAAGTAAAATAGTTAATCATTGAAGCTGTCACTGTATGGTACGCTTTGATGTTATGCCTAATGCACCCTGAGAAAGTATATAATGAGCACCAAGACAATAAAGATTCACTGCAGGCTGGACATGACAGTCCCCTGTGTCTGATTTCCCTCCCCGTCATGTCCCAGGTCCGGGACTCACCAGAAGTCCACAAGTGGCGCCAGAACAGGGACTTAAGGGGACCTACCACTAAAGTGACGAGGTGATGATGGCGGCTGTGGAAGTTTACAAAAGGTGGTGAGTAAACAAGAGGAAAAACACGGCATGGGGTTCTCTTCTCGTCTTTCTACTTTCACTTCTTTGTGGAAACATTTATTAGCTGAAAAGGGAGCAAAAGTCCCATTCTCTCAAATTCTTGACTGTTTATAGGTTGTTACTGAATATAATCCTTGGTTTCCTGATACTGGTACTTTTGATATAGAAACTAGAGAACAAATAAGAAAAGGTGACATGGTCTTGTAAATGGAAGAAGAAATGCTTCAAGCTTTTCCTGTTAATTATTTGGGGAGGAGGCCAGGTTTCTCCCTGCCAGAGTTTTGCCATTTGTTCTTTTTAAGAAAAATAAAAAAAGGTATTTCTATATAATAATATTCAAAGTTCATTCACAATTGTTAAAGTGATAGAAAATGGTTAAATATGACTATATGAGACTATATGACTATAATATGACTAAAAGGTTTTTATTAAAATAGAATAAACCCACTGTGGCAGACAGGTGGGGGCTTCCCCTGGTCTCAACAAGCTGCTGCCTGGACTTTTTCTCTGGTGTTGGGATCACTGGCAGGTCTCCACTGCCTTCCTGCTGTGGGGGACTGGACTTTCCTTTTGTCCACCTTAAAAAACTATTTGGTTCATTCTAGGAAAAAAGTTCCATTTCCCTGTGTTTTTCTGATTTTAAAGTCTAGATTGTCTAAGGCAAAAACTGCTGAGTTACTTTGGACTTGCTAACAAGCTATACAGAATGCTTATTGGTTGAATAAGAGCTTTTACATTTACTTATTGGACCTGTAAAAGGTTAAGCTTCTTGTTAAAACTAATTTACCTGGTAAAATATAAAGTGATAATTCAGCTAAATTCTAAACCTCAGATTTTGATAAAAGCCTAAAAATGGACAGACTGTAAAAATTTACCTATTCTCCTGCCCTCAGATAATAGTGTTCTTTTTTGTCTTAAAAATATGCTTGTTCTCAGTGAGATAAAGCATTAAGAACCTAAAGCCAAAGCCAAAGGATCATTTCTTTTCTTTTCTTTTTTTTTTTATTTATTTATACAAGACTGGGTATAGTCAGAAGCGTGGGAGGGTGAGAGAATTCACCAGAGCCAGAGCGGGGAGCAGAGCAGGCAGAGGGACCGAAGTACACTGCTGAGGGGAGCAGCGGGCGGCAGGAGAGGTCTGCGCGCCATGTGGGACCCTCCTCCGGTAGCCGGGGAGCAGCTGGGGATTGAACTGCCGCTGCAGAGGCTGCGGGCAGCTTTGCAACCCAGCGCTCAACCGCTGTGCCACCGGGGAGGCCCCCAAAGGATCATTTCTTAAAAATATAAAATCAAAAAATATTTTCTTATCTAAAAAAGCTAGTAAAAACTGCTGTGACTGTTGTGGTCTCGAGTTGAAGGTCTTTGGTAATAATTAAGATTAGACACTTATTCTATGTAAAGTTTTTAGCTTTTAACTCATTAAAAACCTTCTTAATATAAAAGTGTATAGAAAAAACTTGGTAAAGGAGAATTTTTTTTTTAAGATTTATTTATACAAGTACTGGATACAGTCAGAAGCGTGGGAGGGTGAGAGTATTCACCAGAGCAGAAGCCCGGAGCAGAACAGGCAGACCAATGAAGTACACTGCTGAGGGGAGAAGCGGGCGGCAGGAGGGGTCTAAGTGCCATGTGAGACCATCACCCAGTGGCCGGGGATTGAACCGGCGCTGCAGAGGCTGCAGGCAGCTTCACAACCTGGTGCTCAACCACTGTGCCACCGGGGAGGCCCAGTAAAGGAGAATATTAAACATAAATAAAAAGCTAAGGCATCTGAAAAACTAGGTTGTTTGAGATGTTTTATAAAGGTTCTTTTACTATTTTAAAGAAATTTTTTTTCCTATTTTTTTTTTTCTGGCCTTAAAATACTAATGTAAATTCTCTGTGCACAGTTTCTTTAAAGCCAGACTCACTCTTAAAAATACATGTTTAAAATATGGTTGATCTAAAAGAGTTGTTATAAAACTAAAATTAAATCATTAACAGGTTTCTCAGTGTCTTCACAAATATTGATATAATTACAATCTCTTAAAATATATACACATGGCCAAAATTTTAAATGTATATCAGGAGATCTCTGTGTCTGTTTGTGTCTGTCTTTGTGTTTTGTTTTGTTTTGTTTTTTTACCTCTGGAGGACTAATTATAAGCAGTGCCTATATAAATTCTCATAGAAACAAATCTTGAGACTGAGATCAAAAAATTTTTTGATAAACAAGAACTAGTTCAAAGTTTATGATATAATTCAAAGCATATATGCCTTAAAGTTATGTTAAGTATTAATAATTTACTTTGTTTAAATGTGTTTATTTCAAAAGAAACTTCTGGTATAAAAGGTACTTTTCTCTTTCCTGCTGTAAATGAAAAATGTACATAGTATCTATATGTTGCTTTGATTTTTTTTGGTTTTTATTAATTTGCCTAATACTTGTTTAATTATTAGCCAGCCTAGAAAAACCTTGGTATGTGCCACTGTTTTATTAACAGCTGTGCAAAATGGAATTCCAGTCATAACACAAACTAAAGTTACAACTAAACTTTCAGGTTTACTTTTTGCACCTATTTGTGAAAGCTGAAAATTCTAATGTCTGCCGCGGACCAGCACAGCAGTAGACGATGAGGCCACCTCAGGGTTGAGAGAAGCGTGCAGGGTGGTCAGGGAGTCGGCGAAAGAAATGACAAACAGACACACTTCAAGATGAGGCAACTGATAGTTTATTAATTTCAACTAGGACATCTTTTGGAAGGGCAGCTTGTCTGCGTACCTCAGCATATTTGTCTGTTCCCATGAACATAGAAAGGGAAATTTTCTCAGCCTTAACCTCATCATCATGCTTCTTAAGGAAGGCATGTACTTGGTCCTCATATTCCATGCGAAATAATACATACATTCCCGAGGGAAGTACAGCCTTGGCAAGATTTTGCCAATCATAAGGGGTCATCCAGGTGACTGATAACATGCCAATAATTTGATAAATATAAGGGGAGTTATGACCTGTTGTCTGAACAGCTAACTGTAATTTTTTAAGAGTTTTTATGGGGATGGCCTCCCATGCAGGGCCTTCATTAGCGAGAGACAAAGCCGGAGGTATGGGAACGGTAAAAGTAAATGAAAAATCTCCTTACTGGCCTTTTTTGCTAATCCTAAAATGCCACCTAGGGGCCCTTGATGGGCTTTGATATGATTAGGATTATTATGTAATGCAATTTTAGGTTTGGTAACAACTGGAAAAAGGTTAGCGGGTGGGCAGGAGGGTTTATCATTTTTGAAAGTTAATTTATCTAGCATTTCAGTATATTCATGATCATTAAACTCATCCTCTGACTGGGAAAGGGATTCCTTTGATACGGGAGCAGAGGCTTGAGTAGATCATTATTGTTTTTAGGATTATCCTGAACTTCATCCTGTTGGCCTTCCCACAATTCTGCCTCAGTGGCATCAACCAACAAATCTCTAATTTGTACCCACAAGGACAGAGCCTGTCTCGGAACCTGAGATGGTCCATGAAGGGCATAAAACTCTTTCACTTCTTTTCCTACTTTCTTCCAAGTTTCCAGTGACAAACTACGTTCTTCTGGAAACCACGGGCATACCCGTAATATAAATATATAAAGTTGCAGTAGAGCTTTCTTATTTACTTTAATACCTCGTGTTTCAATCATATTTTTTAATATAGATAGAAAAAGATTTTTGTTTTTGGTCTCGTGGTGCTTTTGTTCACTCAAGCAAAGATTTCTTTCAACTGTGCTGTCCGGCCCGTGTCCCTCGCGGGACCTTGCGGAGGTGTCTTAGCTAAGGTCTGTCCGTATAAGTCCCGGACCAGGCTACTCCGAAGAGCAGATGACCGTTATGCCATATGACATTCCTCCACGGGAATCGCGGGTGCAGCCCACTCAGACTCCGTAGACACGAGGCCGTGGAGCCGTAATCATACACTCTCACACACACACAGCACCACGAGCATTCACTCTTAGAAAAACTTCTCACTATCTCAAACTGATCACCCTTTATCAGCGAGCTCAGGACGCTCCAGTGAGGATCCTATCCCTGACTGTTTAAAAGAGGGTATTTTAAGGGAATCACATTCACACTCACACACAAGAAGGGAGATAGCTTACCCAACACGATCTCTTCGTTACTCACCTCTTCTTTGGGTGGAAGACACAATGAAATGAAATGAAATGTCGGGGCCCCACGTTCGGGCGCCACCTGCCGCGGACCAGCACAGCAGTAGACGATGAGGCCACCTCAGGGTTGAGAGAAGCGTGCAGGGTGGTCAGGGAGTCGGCGAAAGAAATGACAAACAGACACACTTCAAGAGTGAAAATCTGAGTGTAATTTTCTTTGAGTTTGTGACCAGTATATATATGTTTTCCAAAAGCACAGGAATGAATATCAAAGAAATTAGCTTGCTCATGGGCTCAGTCTATCACCATCAGGGAGGTGATCTACATAACAAGCAATGACCATTATGGAAGAAAGAAGGAAGTTTAGAAAGACAGATAAGGGATTAAAGTTTGTCTTGTAGTGGTTCCTGGTGGTCGTCATCTATTGATAAGCTTCTGCCTTTTCAGGGAACTTCCGCTGAGCTTCCTCTGCTTCAGGGTGTTATGCTGTTCTCCCCCTGCGTGCTGGTTGCCCAGCCGGACCTAGGGCCGGTTAACCCTAAAGGTCACTGCAGGGGGAGGTGCAGCAAATGTCATATTATCTTGTGTGTTCACGTTTAAGTCATCCAGTCCAAAGAGATGACATTATTATAATGTATGATAATGCCTGACTGCTAACAAAAGATGTGACAATCCTAAATCGATGTAAAGTGAGATGTGTGTTTACAAAGAAAAACATGTATTAAAAATAGATATTTTAATGGTCCTAAAAGTAAAGTAATGAGTGTTAAAGCTGTGGAACCAAGCTTAGCTGAGGTTTCGCCATTTTGTATATCCTCCACCTTGATATGTTAGTCCTTGTCCAGCCGCATTCCGGAGATAGTTTCAGCAGTCACAACCCTCACTCCACTTGGTGACGAAAAAGCAGACCACCCCAGCCGCCAATGAGGGCAGTCCTGTCCATAAATGGGACAGCATCTCTAACTGTCCAATCAGTTTGAAATTGTAACCGCGCGCGCCAAAATGCCTTTGTAGTAGCCAATGAATAATTGCCAGCTTCTTTCAAAGTTCCCGCCACTCGCGACCCTATAAGATACCCCAGCTTCCTCTGTTCGGGGCTCTCGACCTCTGCCGTTGCATCGGTGCGTGTCGAGGGCCGGGTCACGAGCCCGTATTAAACTCCTTTGTGCCCTTGCATCGGTTGTCTGTGTCCTTGGGGGCTGCACTGGTCGACGTGGGCACAACAAAAGCAAATGTTGAAGATCTAAAAAAGAAATTAAAAAAAAAGAGTTAAAAGTAACAAAGCTAAGGAAAGTGTTAAAGATATGAGAAAGGAATTTTAGGAAAAGAAATTTTAGGAAATTTTAGAAATTTTAGGAAAAGAAATTTTGTATACGCAAATTATTTATATTTTAGTGTTTTGGGAACACATTAGCTGAAATAATTTTTGGTTAATAGTAACTGAATTGTAATCTTATGGGTTGCTTCAAAATATGTACTTATAAACTAGCATTGGGTATAATCTTGGCTCTTGTCTGGGTTAATGATGTTGGGTACATAGTGTCTTTTTTTTTAAAAAAAGATTTATTTATTTATTTTATATAAGAACCGGGGTACAGACCAGATGTGTGGGAGGTGAGAGGATTCACCAGAGACAGAGAGGGGAACAGAACAGGCACTGTTGAGGGGAGCAGCGTGCGCGACAGGAGAGGTCTGCCGCCCATGTGTGACCCTCACCAGCTGGCCGGGATCGAACCATTGCTGCAGAGGCTGTGGACAGCTTTACAGTGCGGCGCTCAACTGGCTGCGCCACCAGGGAAGACCCCATAAAAGTCTTTTAGTGTCTGAAGAATTACTAAGGTTTTTGAGATGAAAATTAAAGGTTATGATTTGACTGTCAATAGTATACTTAGGGCCAAAACTTTCATAGAGATTAAATATGGTTGTTGTTGCTGTTTTCTAATATTTATGACAAAGCTTCCCAAAAATCTAAATTAAAGTAAAATTTGTTAGCCTGTAATTTGATCGATTAAAGGAAATTTTGTGGAACCTTAGTAGAGCTTCAGAGACACTCCACAAAATTTCTTCTTTTCCTCCTGGGAAAGGCACTAGATAAATTTGTCCTATGTGGTATACTTAATAACATTATGCTTAAAGGGAAGCATTTTCACTTGGGAAAATGGTAAAACTCTGATATGTACAAAAATGTTAACATTGGTTTTCTAAAACAAAATCTTTCAGTACCTCTTATGTATGTAAATTGTCAATGGTTATTGTTGTCTTGCAATGTTATATACTTCAATGGTTTGATGTCTGTGGAAATTGTTTCTACAAAAAATATGAAGGAAAGGCCTCAAATGATTCAAAGTGATACAACTTTTGATTTTTATTGTTTTAGCTAACTTGTATTTACATTTTGTGTAGCTTTGAGTAAAATTCTTCCAGGGAGTTGACCTAGAGCTGAACCAATAAGTGGAAAAACTACTGCTTTGTTTGTAGGGTTTCAGAGACCTCCAAAAATAATAAAAAAAAGCTTGCCTCCATTGACAGGAGTGGACAACCTGAAAAAAGAAAAAACTCTGGTGGAGTCTGGTGAGACCAACTTTGTTTTTAAAGCCTGTATGGACTGGATTTTAAGAGTTCACTCTGATCCTATGTGGAGTATTTTAGCAAAGCCAGCAAAAATTGCTGTTTGGTTATTCTGCCTGTGATTTTATGCAAAAATAGGTAAATTGGTCTAAAAGTAAATTTAGTTCACAAATATTTTACGTACTGTTAGATAAAATTGGGATCACAGTAGAAAAATTCTCCTTACTGGTATTCCTTACAATCCTCGCGGCCAAGCCATTGTTGAACGCTCTCAACATAACTTAAAAACACTGCTTTCCTCTTTAACTATAAACAGAAAAGGGGGACATGGAGGATGGCATCAAAGGATACAAGAAACCCTGTTATCAGCTCTTTTTACTTTAAATTTTCTGAATTTACCACAGGGGGACCCCATAACATGCAGCAATAAACATTTTGCTACTCAACCAGCATGTAGCATGCAAGAACCAGTATGGGTAAAAACCCCAGGAACAAATGTGTGGGAAGTGGGGGTCATGATTTTAAAGGGAAAAGGCTATGCTTCTGTCATTCTAGATGGATCCTCCGAAACAATATGGACACCTCTTCGGCTCATTCGGCCCGGGATCCCGGTCCTCCAAGAGACTGCCCCAGACTCTAGACGGGGTTCACTCCTGTGCTGTCCATTCTCGGGGTGTTGGACAAATGTATAATGACCTGTGTCCATCATGAGAATATCATGAAGAGTATTTTCACTGCCAGTAATGTCTTCTGTGCTCCAAGGAGACAATAGCAAAAAGAAACCAATGGAATCACATCAGACTAAAAAGCTTCTACATAGTGAAGGAAACTATCATTAAAATGAAAAGAATATCAAATTGGAGAAACTATTTGCACATCATCAATCCAACAAGGAGTTCTGCAAAGAACTCCAAAACAAGAAAACAACTCAAAACAGGGGCAGAGGAGCTAAATAAGTACTTTTCTAAAGAAGACACACATGTGGCCAATATGTGCGTGGATAAATGTTTGTCATCATGTGCTGTCAGGAAAAAGCCAATTAAAATCACAAGGAGTTACCACCTCACACTGTGAGAATGACCCATTGAAGGGTGTGGAGGAAAAGGAACTCTGGCACATGGTGGGTGGGAATGGTGTCTGGTCCTGTTAGTGGGCAGAATAAGGGGTTCCCTGGACCCTCAAAACTGCACACTCTACATGGGATCTGCCATCAGCTGCACAAAGACAAAATGTAATCTAAAGCGTAAGACCTTCGATAGAAAAGAACTTTAATACAATTAGTATAAAATAGAGAATAAGTGTGCAATAGAGAGAGAGAAGAGAAAGAATATAATTAGAATAGTTCCAAGTGAAGCACCTAAAGTTACCCATCCCCTCATGGGTAAATGCCCAGCCAAACAGGCTTGGCCCAAAGCAGGCCCACTGGGGCCCAAATGAACGCCTGCCACAGTCTAAGGCACCTACTGGTAGAGACCCATGGGACAGGGGCAGGAGGGGTCAGGCAAGTCTGGAAGGAAAAGAGCAAAATCAAAATCCACATCAAGATAACAGCTGCCACTGTCAGCCTTCCCATGGGCCTCTCACTCAAGTCTTTGTCTCTTTCACATGTCTCTTTCCCTGTCCCCAAATCCCTGGCAGAAGTCCAAGCCTGAGGAACAAGACTGGCTACTTTTTCACATGTCTCTCTGCTCCATGCGCCTCCTCCAGTCTCCTTTCCTCATCTTACTCCACATTTTCCTCCTCTTCTTTAGCTTCTCATCCCTGCCCAGCTCCACCTTTCCTTTGGCAGGGTATAACCTGGAGCCTCTCTTTTTTTTTTTTTAAGATTATTTATGTATGTATGTATGTATGTATGTATGTATGTATTTATTTATACAAGCACTGGATACAGTCAGAAGCGCGGGAGGATGAGAGAATTCTCCAGAGCCAGAGTGGTGAACAGAACAGGCAGACTGACTAAGCACACTGCTGAGGGGAGCAGCAGGAGGCAGGAGAGGTCTGTGCACCATGTGGAACCCTCGCCGGCGGCCAGGGATCGAACTGGCACTGCAGAGGCTGCGGGCAGCTTCGCAGCCCAGTGCTCAACAATTGCGCCACCAGGGAGATCCCATGGAAACTCTCTTTTCTATGGATAGCACATTGGTCCTGCCCCTATGGAGAAAAAAAAATGAAGAGGTGTGACTCTTGTCTCTGAACACATACAGTGTGTAAACCATTGCTGATCTCAATTGAATAATACAATGAGGGGGAAAAGAAAAAAAAAAGGAAATTATCTCCATCAGTCACTGACCTCAGCACTTTGCCTTCGCCTCCTCACTGTCATGCAGGGTGAGAGGCTGGTTTCTCACAAGGTCAGAGGCAGGAGGTGCAGGGACTCCTGGGGCTGCTCAGATACCGCTGAGTAGAGACACTGCAGAGAGGGAGGCTCTGAGGGGACCAGAGACAGAGGGTCAGAGTAACCCCAGTGCTGAGTGAGGATCTGGTTCCCAAGGAGAGGGGAGGGTGCGCGCGCTCGCGACGTGTGTGTGTGTGTGTGTGTGTGTGTGTGTGTGTGTGTGTAACAGGAATGACAAGATATACAACATAAGATGATGGGAAGTCAATTAACATCAAGCCCCAGAACAAATTAATTCAAATCGCACACAGATTAAAGAGTGTCAGAACAACACCTCAATAAATACAGTTCCATGGAGAAGCAGCTTCTGAGCAGGACTGAAAAAGCATTGGACCTGAAGAGGAGGAGGAGGTTTAGAAATATCGCATGGTTGGCTTGAGGTGTAAAGAGCTGGGCAGGACCCCTCCCCCCACCCTGGCCCCTGCTAGGATGTGGTGGCATCTTCACCCCTGACAGCTCCCGCCCCCAAACCCCAACGTTCATCTCCTTTGGAGACACCTGTATATATACATGTAATCCCAACTTCTTGATTTCCCACCTGTCTGGGGCATGTAGGTGGTTCCCATAGCTTGGCTACTGTAAATAGTGCTGCAGTGGTGACGGGAGTGCAGGGCCCTTCACAGGAGAGTATTTATCCTCTGGGAGGAGATCCTCAGTGTAGAATTGCTGGGTCCAATGGCAGAACCACATTTACTCTTTTAAGAAACCTCAATACTATTTCCATAGGGCTGGCTCAGTCTTTATCCAAAACAATGCAGGACTGTCCCCTTTTTTCCACATCCTTGCCAGCACTTGAGTTTCTGGTCTTTTGGATATGGGCCGTTCTCGCAGGTGTGAAGGTTTAAACCAAGGGATCATAAAGGCACAAAATGTGGGCAAAAAAGAAATCCTGTAACACTCAGGCCCACACAAGGCTGTCTCTCACTGTGAAAGAAAATAATCATGAAGAAATTCAGGTGAATGACCTGAGTGTTAACATTATCAATGGTCCACTGCATTCTCAAGATGTCCCTGAAAGCATCCCCATCACCTAGTCCCAGCCTCTCTGCCTCAACTCCCAGGCCCACTGCAGTCCTCCAGGGTCTCACCTATGAGATACACTTAAAAGCACTGGGACTAGGACTGCCTGGGGTGAACACAACAAAATTTGGTCAGAGATGAGACCATGGGAGGAACTGATGAGAGTGACTCTCCCATGGGCTCCATCTACACTGTCCCCAGGGGCTCAGGGATCAAACCCTTGATCCACACTTACCTGCACACTAAGTGTAGCTTCCTCCTTGTCCTCCTGTAGGAAGAAGCATCATGTGAGACCAGGGAGGAGTCAGGTCAGAAGCCTAAATGAATCTTCTAATCCTGCAGAACAGGGAAGTTTCCAGAACTGAGTAAAGTCCCAGGTCAGGACTGGGAAAAATGAGGAAAGGAGATGAGGGGGGATTGGACCAAATGCCCTCTGGGCAACACCCGTGTGTGTGGATGGTACTTCCCATTAACCAGGCAGGGCAAGTTCTCCCTGGGATATGAAAACCCTCAGTGGTCAAGATCCCCCCATTCCCTTCCCTACCAGAGCACTTCTTCTTCCCCTCTCACACATGAAGCCACCTTGTGTGCAATGAGCACACCTACAATGAAAACCAAGCCAGAAATGAGGACCATGGCAAGGATGGAGAACTGAGGAGGTGGCAATGGAAGGGAATTGAAGGTCAGACCCTGAACCTGAGGCCTCAGTCTGACCCTCTGAAGGTCTCCAGAAGGGCTTCTGATGCCCCTGAGTCATCTGTGTGCCCACATCACCCTCCTTACCCCCTCTCAGGACTCAGGGTGCTATCAACCCCTCATGCTGCACATGGCACATGTATCTCTGCTCCTCTCCAGAAGACACATCCTCAGCTGCCCACTTCTGGAAGTTTCCATTCCCTCCTCCCCAGCCTGGTGTTCACCAGCTCCGTTTCCTGGGCCAGGTCCTCCCCATCTCGCTGCCAGGTCAGGGTGATGTCATCAGGGTAGAAGCCCAAGGCCCAGCACTTCAGGGTGACCTCATGCTCAGAGATGGGGTGATGGGTCATGTATGGTGATTGGGGGTCTGAGTAGGAATAATCAGAAATTTCATGCTTTGTGTTTCCTCGATGGACACCGAAGCAGCCTCATGCGACCATCCTGCAGTGGACAGAACAGTATGTTTGGAGGGAGGAGCACAAACCCCAGAAACCAGCCTGGTCTGGGAGTCCGGGATAGCAGGTGAGAGCCCAGGGTGGGATGCAGGTCTCTGAGCATTTTGTTGCTGACTTGGGTGGAGGGTGATGACACAGACAGGCAGGAGGGAGATCTCCAAAAATGCTCTCTGACCAAAAAACAAGATCTCGAGAGAGAAACTCAATGTTCCCTACGACGCTGCTGGTCAAAAGGATCCTGTAAAAGGTGATTTCAGGGATGGTCTCCCCTCTTTTTCAGGAGAAACTGGATCCCTTAACTGTCCTACAGAAAAAGCAGGAGCCTCCGGGCCAGTCTCCATCCCAGAGCTGGAAAACGTGGCCGACAGCTCCCTCTCTGGCCAGAAGGGGGCGCTTCCTCACCATGATTCCATTGCCCTGCGGGGTGCGCGCCTCAGGGAGATCAAAGCCCCGCAGCCCTCTCACCTCTGAGCTGCGGCGCCTCCTTCCCCATCCCCAGGAGTCTGGGGGCCCCTCCCCGCACCCGCCCCCCGGGCTGCTCCCGTCCTGCTCTGCCCGACCTTCCCCCTCCCCCTCGCGCCGGGGAGCTGAGCCGCGGGCCCGCCGGGTCCAGGCGCGCAGGTCCCCGCCCAGGGCGCGTCCCCGGCGCCGTCGTGGGGAGCTGGTCGTGCCCGCGGGGGAGGCGCCGTCGGGCCCCGCGGCGTAGCCCAGAGTCCTCTGGATCGTGGGAGACCCTGAGCCCGCCCTTCAGTCACCCCGTGGTCTCCCGCCCGCACCCGATCTCCCGCCCTGAATAATCCTGAACTTAAATAAAACCTAAAGGGGGAAAGTCCCGCGGGCTCTTCCCTGGTCAAGGGGCCTGGCAGGGGCCACGGCCTCGGGGGTCACGGGGCCCCGAGACTCGGGGCGGGGGGTGGGGGGGAGCGGTGACCCGCCCCGGCCCGCGCTGCTCCCCGGCCCGGCTCTGGCTGCGGCGGCCGCGCGGGGCCTCCAGGAGCGCTTGGAGCCTCCGCGCCGAGTGTCTGCGGAGCCGCGTCTCCTCGCCCGACCCTCCCGCCCCGCCCGCCCGCCCAGGGGCCCGCGGCTCCGCGCTCTGGCCCGGGGAGTCGCCGTCGAACCCCGAACTGCGTGTCGTCCACGTAGCCCCGCGATGCACCGGGGCTCCCCGAGGCCGGGCGGGACATCACCATTTCTAACACCCTCAGAGAGGGGGAGCCTGGGGGCGGGGAGGGGTGAAGCCGGGCGGACCCTCCTCCCGGGGCAGGTCCTGAGTCCCGGGGAGATGGGGCAGGGGAGAAAGTGTCCAGGAGGGAGGGAGCTCCAGAGACTGAACATGGGCAGCGGGTCCAGAAGGGGCAAGACTCAGGGGACAAAAGGAGGAGGCAGGGTGGGGGGACAGAAAGGGACCAGGACTGAGGGGGCCACGGGGGTGACAGAGGGGCCTAAGGCAGCAGCTTCCTCTGCAGAAGCCTTTTCCCTCCACCCTGCACTCACCAGCCCAGGTGTCTGTCTGGGCCAGAGCCGTGGAGAGAAGCAGCAGGAGGAGGTTGGGGGCCCCATGACCAGCACTGCTGGGGTCTGGGGAGCTTCTGACTCTAGGCTGTGAAAGGTCCATGCAGGAGGCCAGAAAGCAAAAGCCTACCAGGAAGCCCACCTGGGGGCAGGAATGAGGACACCTGTCTGGAGGATTCAGGCAATGAGCCTCCCCCCTCTCCCTGAGTCTCTTCTCAGACAAAGAACCTCTACCTGCCCCACGAACATTTTCGGGCCCTACAAACTTTTCCCGCCATACGAACCCAACTTCCTACCTGACCCCTGCTTACCCTATGAAACCCTGCTTCCCCCTAACAACGTGCAGGACTCCACTGACCCCCCCACCCCCTTGGGTCCGTGAGGTCCGCCCCGGGAGCAATAAACTTTCCCTTACCCCAAGGAAGCTTGGCCTGGCTGTTCTTTACTGAGCCCTACCTTTCAGGCTGGTGGGTGGAGACTTACACTGGGGACTGAGAACTGGGGAGGAGTCACAAGTGTCCTCGCCCAGCACAGGTGGTGGAGACAGAAGGGAGGCTAAGGGGGCAGTGGGGTATCCCCAACAGTAACCTTCCTGCCCTAGACACAGCCCTGGGGCCTGGAATTATGAGAACCAGACTGGGGCCCTGGGGCTTTGCTCTGGCCCCTCCTCTCCTCACCCAAAGCTTCCTCACCCTGTCTCCATGACCCAAGCACTGGGTCAGTGATTCTCAGTCATTTTCCTTCCCGGATCCGTGTCCAGTCTTACAAATTAGGGAGGACGCCAAGTATAATCTTGTTTAGGAGGTATCGCTCCCCATATTTACCACCCTGGGAATAAAGCTGAGTTTGATCATGTAGCTGTTTCATTTAGAATAATAGTAATAATCCAAGCAGGTTAACACAAACTGTTGTTAAGAAAAATAACTAATTTCTGAAAATAATCAGGGCAATGAGAAGAGTGGATATTTTACATTTTTTATTTTTGCAATTGTCTTTCTTGTCTGTCTCATTAGAAGACAGTAGGATTTTCATGTTTCCTTGTGCATTTATTTATTTTTTAAGATTTTATTTTTAGGGCCTCCCCGGTGGCGCAGCGGTTGAGTGCTGGGTTGCGAAGCTGCCCGCGGCCTCTGCGGCGCCGGTTCAATCCCGGGCTGCTCCCCGGCCACCAGAGGAGGGTTCCACATGGCGCGCGGACCTCTCCTGCCGCCCGCTGCTCCCCTCAGCAGTGTACTTCGGTCCCTCTGCCTGCTCTGCTCCCCTCTCTGGCTCTGGTGAGTTCTCTCACCTTCCTGCGCTTCTGACTACCCAGTGCATGTATAAACAAACAAGCAAATAAATAATAAATAAATAAATAAATAAATAAATAAATAAATAAAACATGCCTCTATTTAAAAAAAACTCTAAAAAAAAAGATTTTATTTTTATTTATGCATACAAGAGGTGGGGTACAGGGCAGAGATGCAGGGCATGAGAGGATACACCAGAGACAGAGTGGGGAACAGAACAGGCGGACTGACTGATATATACTGCCAAGTGGAGCAGCAGGAAAGTCAGGAGAGGTCTGCTGAGCTATGTTGGTTGCTCCCTGGCTGGCCCGGGATGGGACTCTGTGCTGCAGAAGTTGCGGATTGCTTCACAGCGTGTTTCTTAACCCCTTGCATCACCAGGGAGGCCCTCCTTCTGCATTTAGTCTGTGGTTCTGGTTGAAGTCTATGAAAAATGTATACAGCCTCACACAAATATGTTGGAGCAGTATTCACATGATTATGAATATTCCACTTTGATACTAAATTAAAACTATATAGGTGGTATTTTCTGAAAGGTTACTTGCAAAGTCAAACCTGAAACAGTATCACTGATTATTTCTTATTCTGTTACATTTCCATAGTCCTCTCTTGCATATTAATGCTAATGTGTGATTTTTTTTAAAGATTTATTTATATCAGGTACTGTAAAATATGGATTGGAGGATAATAAAATAATGAAGATAATTTTCAATGTTTCAGCCAAGACCCTTTAAATGAAACTGGCTTGGAGTTGTGTTTCTGAGGTAAGAAGTGGTGAAGAATAACTACCACTACAGTTAGTAATATAAGCTCCATTTTTACTAAATTTTACCTCAGCAAAGTCAAAATAGTGAAAAGACAAAGGGTGTCTAAGCGACATTTTGAAAATAGTTTTAACCTCATGGACCTTGTGACAAATTCTGGGTAACTTCAAGGATTCCACAACCACACTTTGAGAAATGCTTTTCTCAGTGAACCAGGTGTAACAGGGTGGTCCCCAGGAAAGGGGGAGGTTCCCTTCCCCACCCAAGGGAGGGTGGAGCTGAGCAGGGAGAGAAGCTACAGAAGAGACTGAGGAAGGAAGGAAGCAGGATGGAGCCAGGAGACCTGGAGGAGGCACATGGAGCCTAGAGACACGTGAAGAAACTGCGCTTGTCTTTTGGTCATGGACTAGGTGACAGAGATGTGGGTGAGACCCATGGGGAGTTGACAATGGCAGCTTTTATCTTGATGTTGAATTTGCTCTTTTCCTTCCGGGCTTGTCTGGTTGTTTCTGACTCTTTTCTGTGGGTCCCCACTGGAAGATGCCTTAGACTTGTGGCAGGCTTTGGGGCCTTGCTCTGGGCCATTCCCATATGGATGGACTTTTACCCACGAGGGGACAGGTAACTTTGGGTGTTTCATTTAGAAACTAGACTCCTTGCCTTTCCTGTATTGTTTCCTAGTTTTATTAAAGTTCCTTCCCATTAAAGTCTCATATGTTTTGTGTTGATGCGGCGGATGGCAGAACCCATTTAGAATAGGCAGGTTTGTGGGGCTTGGGCTGCCCCTCTCCCTGCCCTATAACACAGGGAGCATCTCCCAAGTGTTCTCTGCCTTTGTCTCCTCATCACTTCCCAGCATCCCTCTCCCTGGCTTGCTCCTGCCTCCCCAGGATGCCTCCCCTGCAGACACAGTGGGGAGCAGAGAGAGGACCCTGGAGACATGGAGCTTGCTCTGTCAGGAGAGATGGACATTGAGTAAAGTGACAAACACACATGTAAACCCAACCTGAGCCCCGTACTGACAGGATGGAGTGTGTATACTATGAAAGCAGAGAAGAAGGAGCACTAACAGGTCACCTTCTATTATTTTAAATAGTATCAAAAGGTGTAAAAAATAAATTAAAAACAAGGCCTCCCTGGTGGCATCAGGGTTAAGTATCGATGTTATCACTGTGTAGGACTGAGTTTGACCCCCTGCCAGGGAGCTACCCACATGGTGCAGCAGACCTCTCCTGTCTCACCGACCATTCCCTTCAGCAGTGGATTTCAGTGGATCAGCCTGTTTTGCTCCCCACACTGTCTCTGGTGAATCCTCTCACCGTCTGCACCTCTGGCCTACACCACAGTTCTTACGTGCATAAATAAATAAATAAATCAATCTAAAAAAAAAAAAAAAAAAAGAATAACCTGCAGCATCAGGTACAAGATCCATCTCAGACCCAGAAAACAGCAGAGGCTGCGGACCCAGTGGTGGCGCAGTTGCAACAAGACACGATGGGGGACTCAGTCAGTGAGAGTCAGGCTTTGTTGTCAAATGAGTTTGATGCCAAAGTATAGAGGGTCAGTCCACCATCCAGCACTGCTGGGCCAAGAAGCCTGGGCTGGTCCGCAGCCAGCCAGGAGACTCAAGGGATAGCTTTTAAGTTTAGCTTAATCTAGCCCTTTGTCTAATTTCTCTATATCCATATCTAAGTGATGCATTTGTTTTTCTCTGTTAGGCTTATTTCAATTAGCTCCATCCCTGTTGCCCCAGATGGCATTAGTTTATGTTCCTTGATGAGCAGTATTCTATTATCTATGTACCACCTCTTCCACAGCTTGGCTATTATAAACAGTGCTGCAGTGATCATGGGGGTGCAGGTTTCCTTTGAAGTAGTGTAACATCCTCTGCGGGTTGCTGGTGCCTGCCCCCCTAAGGGGAGCTGGAGTCTCTGAGAGCACCTGCTTACTCTGCACAGGAGGTTCCAGGAGGTTAGAAGCTCTGCAAACAGAACTTCTTCCCCAAATTAACTTCTGTTCCCTGAGGACATGCTGACTTGTGGCATGATCCCTACTAATTAGAAAAACTTGTTCCAGCAGTAACTTATTCATGTGTATAAGCATAAACACAATTGCACGCTGTTTCCTTATCCCTTTGTTCATATCTTTAATAAGAGCTCAGGCTGGGAGAGTGAGAGGCAGAGCCGCTCTAGAGGGCTCTCCCCAGCCTCCCCCTGCTGCTAATTCATTTAGACTTCGAATCCAGTTCATAGCTGAGAACTTCTCATGGGCCATCTGAGGCAGGGTAGATACCTTGGAATGGGACTGCTGGGTCCTATGGCAGATGCTCAGTTAATTTGCTAAGAAACCTGGACACTGTTTTCCATCAGGGATGAACCAGTCTATATTCCCCAAATCAGTGCAGGACCGTCCCTTGTCTCCATGTCCTGCCAGCTCTTGATAGGTCTGGTCTTTTTGATATGGGCCCTTCTCACAGGTGTGAAGTAGTTTCTCATTGTATTTTAAATCAGGGGATCTTGAATGGCTCAAGAAGATGGGGTACACTTCAGTCCCATGAGAATGCCCACATTAAAAATGAAAAAAACAGAAACAACAAATGCTGCAGAGGATGTGGAGAAAAAGGAACTCTCCTGCATGGCTGGTGGGAATGCAAACTGGTCCAACCATTATTCAGAGATGTGTGGAGGACTCTCAAATTACTATAAATGGATCTACCTAATGATCCAGCAATTCCATTCCTAGGAATCTACCCAAAGGACACAAGAACACTAATTCAGAAGGAAAACTGTACTGCTATGTTCATTTCAGCAATATTTACAGTAGCCAAGATATGGAAACAAACCCAATGCCCCCAAATCAGCAAATGAGTCAAAAGGTTTTGGTATATTTAGACAATAGAATATTACTAAGTGATGAAAAAAGACAAACTCATCCGATTTGCAGCAACGTAGAAGGAGCTAGAAGGAATTATGCTCAGTGAAATAAGTCAGAAGGAAAAAGAAAAATAACAGATGGTTTCACATATAGGAGGAATATAGGAGAAACAAATAAGATGTAGGGGAAAATAATAACAGTACAAAGCACAACAAAGCAAAAAAAAAAAATACAGACAATTATAAACCAGAGACATCCTGCAGGGGAGCCTGAGGGAGAGGGATGGGAAGGAGGGAGGGAGGTGCACAGGGGGCTGAGGGGATGGTGCATGGCTGCATTGGTGGAGGAACTTCTATGGGGACTACACCTGAGGAGGAAAAAACAAACATTGTTTAAAAAGGAACAATGATGTAAAATATATATAAATAAGATAATTTTAAAATAAAAATAAAAGAACTTTTACAGTAAAAAAGTCTTATCTCCAATCCAGGTAACAAACACAGTAACAATGCTTGTCTGTCTGTGCTCC